ATAATAATAATAATTTGTATGCAAACGCACTAAAAAATTGTTAAACAAAGCGAATATAAGTCGATGCATTATCTTCGGCATCCGTTTGCATTTCTTCGAATCTTTTACTCGATGAGGATCATAAATGCCTATAAACGTCTTGCCCTCAGATCGAAAATTTACGACCACTGTTCCGTAAAACGAGAGACCGGCGATTATCGCTCTAATTGTAATTAACGTCTCGCCGCAGTAGCATGAACCTATAATTTTTTATTCATGTACGTATTTATGGCTTTTCTTGAGTCGACGATAATGACGCATGTCGCGCGAGCGTACTTTTTAATATGAAATTATGTAATCCCGATAAAATCGCAGCGCATTACGGCAAAGTCGACTTTCGTAAATGTCTCGTCGTTCCCGTGACTACAAAGAATAACAGATAATTAGCGACATAAATTGAGTCACTTCGCCATTACGCTACCTTAATTATTCTACCTATTAAGAGCTGACAAATTCCGTGAGCTCGTAAAATCGGGAGCTGCAATTTTCGTCATAATGACTTAACTGGAAGCTTCGCAGGAACTGGCGCGATTATCGACGCTCTAAAATGGCACTACTAAGAAAGGAATTAATTTCCGATATTTCCATGAATAATATTTTTAACATTTATTTCTTCTTATCGAATGACGTTGCGCATTTACATTCCATTTCATTGTAAGATGTGATTGTCCGTGTGTGATTGTCGCGAAAAGAAATGCGAAGATGACGCTCGCGATCGATTTTGTTCAGCCTAGCTCGAGGAGAATCTCTCCAATGTAAATATCGCGTTTCCCCCGAGGCTGATTCTCCTCGCCGAAGCACGGCGATGAATATTCATGCCGGTAATGACGCGGATAATTGTGGTGCGCGCGAGGATCCTAAAGAAACTCGAAGGGACTACGCCTCTCTCTCTCTCTCTCTCTCTGTACGCTCGCGCCTTCCTCGAGAGCCCTCGGGGCGGATGCGCGCGTAACTCGGTGGTTAATTCAACAACCATCGGCGGATTGGAAAACACGATTGCAATCACTCCGCGGCACGGAGGTGGAAGAAACGAATGGGACGTGCGCGCGCGACTCACCGAGGCGGATTACGCGGAAGGAATATTAAGCGTGAGCGAGCGAGCGAGCGAGCACCGGTTTAAGGCAATAAAGATGCCACCGTTCGCGATTTGTTTTAATATTAACAAACTTCGTAGCTTAATTGACTTCGTCCCGCGCGATCGTAAATTACAGAGGGAGAACGGTAGCAGCTCGACAGTAGCGAGAGTCAGCTTTCATGCGTTTTCATCTAGTCGGTAGGCCACGATAAATACTCGCGTTTCAACGTTAACGTTCGTATAATTTTACTGAATGATGGTAAGACCGACGTCTATTAATGAACAGCGGAATTTTAATATCAGAAGTATCAACTTTATATACACTTTGATACACGCATAAATTAGGAAAACCATTAAAATTATATTGGGTTATTTAAAAAGTATCCGCGGTTTTTTCATTCAAAAATTGAACAAAAAACCGCGGATACTTTTTAAATGACTTAATATTTTGCTCTTGTCAAGTTCCTTGAAAAATTGGAGAAGGTGGATTTGCAAAGGGTTTTTTACGAGGAGGATGTTAGTGAATAAGCGAATTGAGAGAAAAACTTGATATATCGAAAGGATTTATGTTGGACAGAGAAGGAAGGAGAATGGAGAGTAGCAAAGTGAAACGTTTCAAGCACCCACGCGACCGCCAGTCCAGATGAACTGTTTGTGCGTTTCAGTGAATTTACGAGCGGGCCACGGCCTCGCGCTACGGAGCCGTCGTATATTAGCGGCTGAAAGCCAGCAAATGAGATCCGGGAAACATTACAATTACCATCGCAAACAATATTCCGCGGCGCTCAGAGCCGAGAAAACGGTTATTTACAGCCCATTATAGTCAAGGGACAGCCAAGGAAAGAGGAAGGCGCGCATAACGCGCGCGAACCGCCTCGCGACGACACGCGTCATAGACGAGCCCCTCTGAGAGCAAAGTAAGTTTCTCTGAAGGAGAAACATCGGCGTGTAGAGCATAGAAAATAATTCTGTGATATGATGAAAAGCGGATTATTATACTGCGCTAAACGTTTCGATAATTACATTTATGAGGTATTACCTACCGCGTAATCGATACGAACGTTAATTGTACATGTTGATGTTTGATTTTGCTCTTTTGACTCTTTCGTAATCTCTACTAGTATCTTAAAATGATTTAATATTAGATCTACTTAAAACCATTTGCCGGATTTATGAACTGTATCAGTCTAATCTTTAAGAAATTTATGAAACGGACTGCATAATAATTTTCAACAGATTATCACGCACAATTATCACGCAGAGAGAGAGAGAAAGAGAGAGAGAGAGAGACTGACCATTACACGTAAAATAATGAAATGCCATTAGTTCGCGGGAGTCACGATGATTTACGCTAAGCTCCTTGTCATTTCGGTGCCGCACGCCATGGGATTATAAATTCCACGCGTCGCTAGAAAGTCTTAAATCCAGCGTCGGTAAAAGTGATGAATAAAATGATCCCTCGCGAAGTATCATAAATAAATCGTCGACGATGTCACGGGGACCTTATTGTACCCGAGCGACCACTTCGCTGACCACTTGGCAGTTTAGCACGTAGAACCGATGGTTTAAAAGAATTTTTCTCCGGTCGATCCATACACACGGCATCAACTCACATTCTACCGCTTGAAAATAAACGTGTACAATCCATCAGATTGCAGATCGTTTCATAGCACGCTGTAACGCGTCATGCTTAGTCGCGGATTGGAAAAAGTACCTCAATGCAACTGGTTATTACATAGACGAGCAACGCAATCCTCTATAATATCTGAATTCACACGTATCGAGAAAGCTACAACTATTACGCAGCATAAATACATGTAAATATACGAGAACGCGCACGTCCATCTTTATCTATACGTTCGATTATAATCTATCTTGTATAAACGCATGACGCAAATCCAATCATGCAACGAAATGCGCGTGTAATTCATCGGATTGCTGCCTGCAGGAGGGATAAAAATTCAATTAAAAAGGCACCGTGCGGTGTGAATTATGCGATGGGTTTGATATTAATATTGATAAACAAACTAAAAGCATTCTACGTTTCATTAAAATATCAGTGATTTCCGAGATCAGGTATCGGATTGTATCAGATTTATGAACGTGACAACTTGATCGACTGAAATAACCGGCATGATATACCTATAGAAAACAGCGTAGAAAATTGAGTCGTTGAATTGTGGCGTTATATAACAAGAGACCACCGTGTAAAGGTATCTAAATGAATATGGAAAAGGAGAGTATATAGAGAGTGAGAGAAATACAATATATAATCTTCAACGGGAATAATCACCTATTTGTACACCTCAGAGGCGAAAAAAAATCTTGCAAAAATTGCAAAATTATTGTAAAATATTGTTATTATAAAATATTATTTTGTATCACATTGTTTAATGTATTTTCTTTCTTTATTAAACTCACAATTAATTAAAATCTTTACTTTTTAAAAACTACTTATTATAATAAATTATTTAACGTGCATGCATGTTATATATTTTTATTTAATATTTATTTCTGTTTCTTTTCGAAATCTGTGAGATCCATAATGTTCTCAAATACTAATAAATGGAAAAACATCCAATAATATACAATATATTATTAATAATAATAATTTTAATCGAGTTTTAAAAATCCCAAATGATCGTTTACGTAAAAAAAAAAAACATTATTAATATTACTACTCCCGAGTTAAGGACGAAAATATTTGCGACAAGAAGTCTTGCTATGATTTCACGTGTTGAAAATGGAATCTAACGTCACGACACTCTAATGAACATCTAATACGTAATAGTTGTGCCATACAGACATGGACGAAGTTATGAAACAAGTATCTCCGCAACAGTCTTACTTCTTTCTCTTTTTTCGTTATATCCATGGTGTTCTGTGCCAGGGTATCGCTTAGACATTAGGCGCATTCAAAGCATTCCTTAATGTTTCACGGCAGAATTTATAACATATTTAGTGACCGGGCGTGATACAACGGTGAGATAACGTCGCGCAGTTCGCGATTCGTGTCTCATATGTACGAACGTATGCGGACTCCACGAGCAACCCTCGTGGAAGATTTATGTACGGCGCATGGAACGCGTCGTTGTCGCCATTGTGTGAGCATTAGGTAACTCGGTTGGTGCTTCATCATCGCCGATATAAAGGGAGTAAAAAGGGACGATCGACCGGACGCAACCGACCGCCTCGCGGTTTTGCTGTTACGAGAATAGATGCAGGTCGAAACACAGTTTCAAAGTTTGAACTGGAGTACAGTATCTACTATTGAATAGAATAGGAGTCGTTACAGGAAACTTTCCTACTGGCTACCTTTATGTTAATGCAAGCGATAGAATAAAATCGTTTCCCTTGTCAAAAACTTCTCGAAACTTCTTTTTAAAATCTCATCTCCACGTACTTCGATTCTTCGATTTATGCGATGCCATAAAACTTCATAATCCTCAAATACATATTATAATTGTTTTATGATAAAATTATTAAATTTTACTTTAGTCTTGATCAAGTTTTATCCAAGTACCGCATGATTCTTTAAAATCGTTATATAATCATTCTTTAAACGACCAGAAACGATGATCACGTTCAGCGTACGCTGTTGATCACCCAATCAATCGTGGATTATATTAATATGTAAGTGATAATTTCTACTGAATGATCACGCGGGCCATGTTACGGTTCAGTTACCTACAGAAATCACTTCTGGAAGACGCTACGACCGATCATAACCAATCAGGACGTCCGTCAACGCAGCTATGAAGTGATGATCTCGTCGTCGATGAACGAGGTCACTTCTGATAATTCTAGCAGCTAGATCTGTTCGATCTAGGCTGCCTTCGGCCACTTGCGAGAATGCAGCCGACGTCTAAATAAGACACAATCGTACCGAACAATCGCATACCATCTCTTCTGTACAACTTTCTAGCGTGGCGCGTCGTCGTCTCGACCGGCCTTGCTAGGACTCTACCGGCAGTCGAATCGACCAGCCAGCCAGCCAGGATAGTCTCTCTTCGTTCAACAACCTGTTGCTTTCCGACGCCACGCGTTCGCCGCTGTGCGATAAATCGCGTCACTGGAATGCCAGCCTCGAACCAGCCGTTGCCAGAAGGGTAGATTTCTCTGCAATGTAGAAATATTTTATACTTGCAACCCTAAAAAAAAATGAGAAAATCCTTAACTCACTCCCGAAAATGTATGATTATCACACAAATCTTCATATTCGTGAGAGAACGAGCGTTTTAAAAATAAACAACAATTATTGTAAAGAAAAATTACTACCACGTTTAATATGTTATGCTCTATTTTATTATACATGAGGTTTTTAATAATAATAGTAATAATAACTTTATTAAGTGCATAAGCAATTTAGAACGGATAGAAATATTTGAATGCATCGCAAATGGCGAAGCGCCAACAATACAGCTACTACAAGAAAAAGTTTCTAACCAGAAAATGAAAACTAAGTAAGAAGACATAACAAAAGAGCAAAAATTTCTCAGATTTATGAATGGTTAGGTTAGATAAAATATATAGAAAGCAGCAGATTGAAAAAGAAGAAAGTGATAAAAAATAGTTGATGGAAGGTAATGTATGTATTATACATGTATTATATGTATAGTGCTTTTGAAAAATGATTTAAAATTTTTTTATGGTGTTAAGTGTGAAAAATGTGTAATAACGTTTCGAAGAGAGATTTCAATAAATTCTTACAATGTAGCGCGAAGCGGAGCGAAGAACGAGAAAAGACCTGTTTGAAGAGATGACTTAGTGATCGAGACTGGTGCTCGACTTGCTTTCGACGGCGGCGGTTAATTAACATTAAGCGGGTGTCTTTTACGGGCTGTTTTCGCTTACTCTCCCTTTTCCTTTTTCCTTCAGCGACCATGCAACTATGTACATATGTAAATACGACGACTCTCTCTCTCTCTCTCTCTCTCTCCTTCTGTGGCTCGTGTCTCCTACCACCATGAGATTCTCGAGATATCCGATATGCTTCGATACATATATTTGGCCGATAATTAAAATTAATATAAAGATTAAGAATATTTACGACGCACAGTACCGCTTGCAGATTTCAAGCGACGTGCTCTCTCGGATTCTCGCAATTGCGTTATCACGTTGATACCAAGACTTTTTCCATAGAGCGAAATTAACGACACCGACAAATGTTCGTTCATACGGAAGCCCGCACAGAACGTGTCCTATCTATTTTAAAGCAGTTTATCTCGTGGTGCCATTTGCGCCAGGTCTGCACAGGCGTTGCCTTTCATGCGTGATATATGCGCAAATTTCCGTTATCACGAATCTATCTGATCACACAACCTACTTAGTATAAATATCGCATAAATACTTAGTATAAATGGAGCGAATAGAACAGAAAATTGACACTAAAATTGACACTGCTGTCTTTTTGTGCAGATGCAAACGTTTAACAGATGTGGAATATTTCGTGTGTAAATTTTCTAATAAATTTAAAATCATCGCACTTATAAATCAAAGTATAATTATTTGATAAACTTATTTTTAGGCCTTTTAACAAAATATTATTCTCAAGTTTATTTGAGATCTGTATTAATGATAAGATCCTAGTTTGAGATTTAACTTTAATCATTCAAAGATTGCAAAGAACGTTACTAATTAATTCAATTTTATCATGATTCTTCTTTTGCCAAAGTCACCGGATGTTTCTGAGGCGGTTAAACAAGTCAATTTGTCGCATTATCTACTTCTTGCTCACTCTTTGTTTATTGCAATTGCAGTTCGCGCGAGCACGATGGAACCTACAATTTTGCATTCGCTTCTGTAGCACTAGCGGATAATTCTATCCCATCGGCGTGGTTTCCGGTCGCTCTTGTGGGATGACGATGACATACGATCATTCCACATCGCAGTCGAGCAGACACCTCGTCATCGTCGTCGAGCCTGGTCGCCCGAATGAAACTGCCATATCCTTGTCGCAGACACCTCGTATCGACCATCTGACATAAGTCTATAAATATGCGGGCAATTCACACAGCAATTGTGATTATGATTCGAAAAAATCTATACCGACGATGATGATCAGGTTTCGTTCCTTTCGTTCGCGACTCTCTGCATTTGAATGCCGTAATTTTTATCATTCTGGAAACTTATACTTATATTTATATGAATATAAAATTATGATAGGATCTATTTCTATTGCAATTTAAAAAAAAAAACCATTGAAACCTGTACGTTATTCGGTAAAAAAATAATTGTTACCTGAAAATTTAACAGTATATCATTTCTCTTGTTTCGATTTAATTTTTAAAGCAGTAAGCATTGCGAGTCTTTTTAAGTGCAAAGTACTTTTTTTTAAGCCTTTGGATTTTAATTAAAAAAAAATTAATATTATAATTAGTTATGGAATTAATTTTGTCTATGTACAATATTTATCGTTTTTGATCGCAAATCTAAAACGGGTGTCTTCTTTAGATCCTAGCGGCTGCATATATACTTACTCTGATCACGCAACTCATTGATAGAGTCTAGTCTTGGAAATGCAAATGGGACCAGTGATATTTAATAAATCACGATATAACACAGGAAGCTTCATACACTCGTAAGCCTCGTTGTATTTTTTTTTTCTCTCGCGTGCGAGCCATCTCCTCCTACGTGATAGCTTCGGCGGGTCCTTAGTTGCCAAGTTTATGCGACGGGTACGAAATGCGTGGCGGATCTGTCGGCAGGCTCGTTCGCGAATCGCAGGCGACAATAATGCTTCTAGTAAATAAATAGCTTTACGTGATCTTTGGCCGTTACGGGAGATCACGTCCTCTTTCGCTTTTTTTTCGCGGGATTCCTTTTCTTCCTTTCTCCTTGAATCTTCCTTTCATTCCTCGTTACCGAACACGACTTGGCTTGATGCTAACTGCATCTCGTCGGAAATTTAAGATCGATTTATGATACATACGCCTTGTCGACTTCGCGCCGCGAAACATTTTGCATAATACAATGTGACGTAATAAGTAGAACTGTTTCATGCCACTGAAAATATACCGATACTCGTTCGTAGTTCCCTGGAACTTCTATGTTTCGCAATTAGAATAGTTCGGCGAGAATGGGCAAAAATTTGCGTGGTCATTGAGTCAGCGTCAAGATAATAGCGAGTGAAATAGCAGGAAGGTAACGACGATATGTATGAGTCTCAGTTTTTATTAAAAGCACTTAAATTTCTCTAGATCCGCGAAGACACGTGTTTCTGCTCTTTCGAAGGATACTTTCTGCTCTGGTATGGTAATGTACTCATAAATTTCTGATGGCTGCGCTTCAGGTAGGAAAAGCACCAAGCGAACAAAACGTTAACAGCGTGTTGGAAATTTGACAGCAGATTTTATCGATACATTTGTAATGGATTATATCAATCATGTCGAAGATTTGTTTGATTTCTGTCAGATATTTCCATCGTTACATTCTATTAGCGAATCTCATTAGATGTCTGTTAAAGTTCTTGCGAGCGAACAACAGCAGGCACTTTGCAAAATCCTCTTTCGACGGACGTGGCTCCCTGGGGCAGATTCTCATAAATGATGAAGAGAGGGATGCTTTTTGTATCGCTACGTCGTACGCGCACGTTCTATTGATTGCTCTTCGATGACCGTACAGTATAACATCTCGAAAAAAGCGCAATTACGCGAAAGCGTGCATAGTAGCCCGTATCTCAACGCCGCCTTGCCTCGGGACGAAGCAGGTGCCTTCCGTACGTTTTCTTCGTGTTTTATTTGCCGAATCTCGCACGTCATGCGGCTTAAATGATATTTTTATTCCTCGACAAGGAAAAAAGGCGCGTACCTCCAATACTCGTAGCAAAAAATAAATGAGTCACTTGCGCGCGAGACGTGAAATTGTCCTCACGATATTTAGAAACTGGAGCATCAGGTAGTCCTCCTTGTGTCTTTAGAGATGCATTCAATAAAACGTTATTAGCTTATTTGTGTCGTTTTATCCTTATTTTACATCTAGCGAACGGGGTAAAGATAGAATGACACTAATAGTGTCTTCTCGAACGCACTTTAGGGATGGTATTCATAGTTTGTTCTTATTTTAAGACTGTTTCGAGTAATGTCTTAAAACGGCTGTCTAATTGGTTCGTGACATCTTAAGACGGTACAAGACAATCTTAAATATATGATCCAACTATAAATACCTGCCTAGGTCTAAATGAAATATCTGAACAAAGTATCCAAAATTTGAGCGACATACAGAACGAGCGGGTCTGGAATAAAAAAGATGAGAAGATGGGAGGGGACAGACGAGAGTAATCGTCCATTCACTCTTGAAGTACCACTCGTCCTCTCGCTTTGGTCGTCGGCCTCTTTCGACCAAATCCTCCGTCCTCGTCTGGCACGAAAGCACCTGTTGTGCCGAGACTCGAGTCACTGCCGCTGTGTGGCGGCTGTGATCAATGCTGGGTTCTGATGACATTCGGCGATTTTTCTCGCGTATTGTTCCAAGAAAAAAGTGAATATATAATTGAGAGATCGAATATAATTGCAGCGTAATTATTCGATCTCTGCTGAAAAATACCGGTTTTACTATTCAATCAATGGATGATTTTCTCGATAACAAAAATGATTATCGACATGTGACAATCTTGTAAAATTTGCTATATCGTCGTAGTTATTTATCGAACAATCGTGAAATGCAATTTTTATAATGAATTCATGAATTTGCATGGTTCACACAAGGACACAATAAATGTTACGAAGCGATATATCCATTAGATTTAAAAATAAATTTACATTTTAAAATATCTGTACACGGAAAAATACGATTTTGCTGCAGTATCTAAAAATTTAGCTACATACAAATCTGAAAATTTGTTGAACTATTAAAATAATTATGTAGAATGCTTACACGTTGATGACAATGCTATAAAGAATTTTAGCATTCTGGCAACTAGTTTATATATTCTTATTTTGATAATTTAAACAACATTTTCAGATCTGCATATCTACACTGATAGAAAAGATTGACTGCTGCGGCAAATTAGATGATAAAATATAACAGCATTTTTAATTGGATGCAACAACCAATTGTTGGTTGCATTTATTCAAATATGTTGGTACAGAATTTCAAAAAGCAAACCGCAACCAAAAATTTGCTGCTGTAACCAACTAAAAATACTGTGTCATATTCAGCCAATCTTTTCTTTCAGTGTAGTTAAATTTTTAGATACTTCAGCAAAACCGTTCTATATAAACAGTGAATCGTAAACTCGAATTGAGTGTGTCGACGCTATTAAACGTTCGCTACGTCCGTAAACTTCCTCAAGTCACATACCAGGTTCTGAAAATTATTCGCGATGTCGAAATCGTCATTGCCTATCTCCGGACAAACCATTTCACTCGAGTTATCCTACGGTTGTCCTCTCGCCGCTTAATTGACAGTAGCGCGTTCACGACAGGGTTAAGCGGAGTCGCGCATTACCGGAGCGCGTTCTTATTATCGTTAATTTTAATTAAGGGTTACCGCGGGTGTCCACGGTCCCCTATATTAAGAGTCTCACGGGGACGCGAGCGTTTGCGGAAGCAGCGGGACGTCCAATCGCCGGAAAGAAGGCTGCTTTATGGAAGATGATGCGAAGGGACCGGGGAACAAGGTCTTGATCCTGGTTATAAACGACCGCACGCTGTTCGCCGCGAATAGGGAGTCCCGCCGCGAGGTGCGCGTCGTGGGACTACGTTCTCCAGGAGAACGCGGGACCGGATCCCGTGAAACGTTCCGACTCCGGGGCCACTTCCCCTCTTTTCTCTTTCCCCCGAGTGAATCTTCGACTCGACGACGATATCTGATTCCGCTGGCTGCGACTCTCGACAGCTCCCGGATTCCGGTGTCGTCGAGTGTCCCACTTAAAGGGAGAGTCCCGCGGCGATCTCTAATTTCTCTAATTTGGCCAGAGACGATAAAGATAAGTACGTGCGTGTGTATGTTTGTGCGTGTGCCTTCTGAGGGAGTTAAATCGATAAAATTATTGACGCTGTTAAAATCCTAATTTTCGGCCGATCATGATAGGCTCATAGAATTAAAGTAGCGAATGAGATAAAGGGATATCGGTTCTTTCGATCATGGAAGATATCCGATTTCAGCGTTGTAAAACGTTTCTCCGCTAAGTTGGAGGAGCTATGAGGATCTTTACTTGTTACATAGTTATTGTTGAATGCCGTTGTCGTTATTGGACATGCTCGTTCGCGATTGATGGATAAGCAATTATAATCAAAACATTATATACCGTTTGTGTAATTAATTATACTTTTGTACTTTATGTCTTGAATAATTGCTTTCTTGAAGTTTCTTAAGAAGAATTTCTTGTTCTGCAAGTACTTCTTCATAAATTTTCTAGATGCTACTCGTCGTTAAGCGAGTTATCATCATCAGTTATCGTCGTTAAGCGTGATTTCTTGCAGACTTGCTGCTTAAATTTCTTTATTGTACGAAATAATTGCTTTCGTGGAAATGATTCCTTGATTTATAAGTACTATTTTGCATATCCTTTAACTACCCTTCGTCACTAATCATTCACTGTCACAAGTTATCATTATCAAGCCTTTTTTTTCGTAAAATTATCGTCAGTCTTCACAGATCTGGAATAGACAGAGAGAGAGAGGGAGAGAGAAATTGCAAGCTTTTTTACTCTTCTCCGGTTTTTGCGTTACTCCCATCGTATTTTGTCCAGTCATAATGACAGTGAAAAATCTTAGTAAGCTCTATCTCTGTTTTACGAACAGTACTTTTCTCACGAGCGAAGACACGTTCCACCTAGAGCGAGGTTCGGCACGTCGGACAATTAAATCTTTTTAATCGTTCGGCGTAATTGGCGCGGATTAGAGATGCCGTCCATCCATCGACGGACCGCGGTCCTTGATTATCGTTGATCGTCAGGGCAAATAACAGTGAGATAAAGAGCGACCGAGACGGGCAAATATAGTGGGAAAAGAGAGGGAGGGGGAGGTCCAGGCGA